AGACAAAAAGCAGTTTATAGCCTATTTAACAATGAAAGAGTGATGGAGTAAAGGGATGGAAAGTTATAACTATAATTATGGCAGTATTTTGAAAGGAAAACCTATAGTTAGGATAGAAAAAAAAGATGCATTAATAAAAATACAGGAAAAGTGGGAGCTTGGATGAAAACTGTACCTATGTTTTTAGATATGATATGTCATCTCCTACACATTTGATGCTTAAATACCCAGCACCCAGTAAACAATTATATGTACAATTAGATCTGAAACAAAACTACTGTGTACAACAAACAAAAAAAATTAGGACAAATAAGTACATACACAATATGAAATTAATTCACAGATTTCAAAATCAGGAAAGGTGTATGAACTTGCAAGCCATGTTCTCTATTTTTTTAAGATAATGAGTCTGTGGGGGCAATAAACAAAATTCCATAGTTTTGACACCTAAAAAATGATATGACAAGGAATCTATCTGCAAAAGTAGTTTTATTGGAAAATAAAAAGTCAAGACAAATGTATAGTCCCCATGTATTTTATTTTTTCCCTTCTATTATCCATCAAAATATTCCATATATACTTACTGATTTGATGCAGGAAAAAAAGAGAAGTGTTTTTTACACATTATAGGGCTAAGAAAGGGCCATTCCTCAGCTAATAAATCTGACTGAAAGCTGGGGTGGGAAATAACTTTGTAGAAAAACTTTTTTTACTTATTAGTTCTTACAACCTTCTCAACCTTTCTCAGTGAGGGAAAATATTTAGACAAATAATAATTTTCAAGAAAAATTTGACAGTTAATTTTAGCACTGGTAGAAAAGAAACAACCCCCGGTTCTTTAGGTATAACAATGGCTTTGTGTTTTCACTTAGATATCTTTTATTCCCTTACATATGACTGGGTGTGGAAACCCTTGAAACCTTCAATACAATTGATTCAGGCTTGCCAAAACTATCAAGAGAAGCACTCCCTCAAGCAGATGAGCATAAGAACCAAAAAGGTTTTAATAATGTAGCAGGTAAGGAGCCATTTATCCTTTAAGATTAAGCACCAGCTGTTCTAGATGTTTTGCTTTTACCTTCTAAGCAATGGCATATTCTGGTATTCATCAATTCATAAAAAACATTAAACATATTTTAAAGAATATTTTTTCAACTACCTGTGTGTTTACCATTAAAATTTTATTAATACATTCCAAGTTCATAAATTCCAAATTTATTGTTCTGCTAAAAACACCACCACCTGAACCTTCAGAAGTGTGGACATATTCAATTGTCTTTAACGCTTAGAGATTTACTCAGCACAGACTTTGGGAAGTTCACTTCTATTTTTCCCTTTTTTTCATAGGCCTTCTAGTTAACTTTTCTTGGAGAAATATTTTTTCCTTGTATATCTCAGTATATCTCAGTTGTGGCTTGGCTGGATGTAACACCGCAGCCTCAGTTTTCCTGAAGTACTTTCCCATTGGTAAGATCATTTTGCCTTAGTGCTTTTCCTCATGTCCAAGAGGAAGCAGAGTTTATGTTAGTTCTTTTAATAAATTAAAGGCTCTTTTTTTTTCCCCCTAAATATTTGCAGCCTTCAGAACACTTGAGTCTCTAATGGATCTGCTGTGTGGATTATGGCAATGATGAACTCAGGTTCTTCTACCCCTGAGAATTAGGGTAAACTACACTAGATTATCTACAGTATTTTAAATTCAAGCCTTCAGGAAATGACAAAGGTGATTCTTTGCTTCAACTGCCTTAGCAGAATTATTAATTTCAAGCTATGAGATAGACTTAAATTTCTAGGGCTCACCCTGCAGCTGCCAGCTTTCATTTTACTTTTAATGAATTTATTTTAAAACAAATATAGTGGTGCTTTAGCTTCTTTTGTTAATTCTCTCCCCCCCCACCACCAATTTTGCCTCCTTTATATAACTGAGTATTTAGCTTTGTAAAATGATAACAACTGTCATGCAGAGAGCTCTGTGCATTACAGCTATGGGAGGTACAGCTACTCTGCACTGCCCACAAATTATAAACACAATATAGCATCCTTCTACTTTATTCAAAATTGTATGGATCTCATCTTCCTATATCCCCAAAGAATTTTTGGATTTTAGCTTTTTCAAAGAGTAAAAAAAAAGTAAAGTAAATGACAATAGAGAGCATTGTCCATTGTTTTTTCACTGAAGTTTATAGTTGCACCCCAGGAGCTTCCCTGCAATTTTGAATTCTGTGGGGAAATGCTTCTGCCTCAGTCAAACTACCTTTTATACTTTTTCCTTATCTAGAGGATATCCACTGTTCATTCAAATAAGTGTTCTAGAAAAAAACATCCTATTGGAAGAATTTCCCCAGGTATTCCTCTCAACACTGACAACTACCAGACATGTTAAACTCTCTTTGCAGGGAAGTTGCCACTGTAAAAAACACAATACATTGTATGGAAAACAGAAAACAAACTACTGGAGACATGCCAGGCTACATCTGCCCTGCTGAATAGATGAGTTCCTAATCTGTAATGAGTTTCCAATATGTTGGAAAAGCATCATGAGGTTTCTGTGCAAAAGAACATTATCTTTAATTAAAAGACTACTCATTTCTATCAAGGAGAGTTTATTCCTCCTGATTTAAAATGCAAGCCCACCTTTCCCAAACCTAAGAATACTCTTCTAAATAAAAAAAAAAAAAAACCAAACCACCAAATAACTCTTTAATAAAAGCACAAAGCACCTGAATAGCATGTGTATAAAATCTGAAGATGCTGCCTGTCTCAGGGAAAAGGAAAGTAATCTGGACTTTTAATACCTTCCAGCCTCATGAGAGTGCTCTAAAAAAATTTTGCCATTTCCCTGGTGATGTAAAATATCTCATTTATCCCTTCAGACCTGAAAGGCTTCAAAAATAATACCTTCAATTTAATTAAAAATCCTATGTCTCTACGTAAAGAGCCCAAGCCACTGAAACAGTCAAAGCTTTCATGAGAACAAATGCAATATTCATGTTACTCTAATCCTTTAATTTCTTAAAGAAAAAAAAAGAAGGGGGTATGTCAAGGTTGTTCCATCAAGTTGAAATATTAACTCAGTATGTCTTAGTTCCTACTTTCACTGTAAATTTATCTTTATTCTGCTTTTTCATATTTGGTAAAAAAAAATATTTGATATTCATCATGATTTAGTTATTAAACTGTCTCCAAGTCCCCAGAATTTTCTCTGGTAATGTTCAATTAAGAAAATAAATCTTGCATGGAAGTAGCATCTCCTTATCTGCAGACTTGACCTCTATCTGACTAAGGACAAGCACTTCTTTTAGGACAATGTTTTGTCAAGCATGAATATCTAACAAGTAGAAGCAATCTGCATAAACCTCCAGATTTGCATCCACTATTCTCCTTCCTGGCCACTCTGCAACAACACCACAAAAAAACAGTCAAAAAAAAATGCCTGTATCATCCCTGCAAGGTAGATTCATCTTTTCTCCTTTTAAATACATTATTTAAAAGATGAAGGGAAATTTCACTACCTGATTCTGCACAAGTGTGATGTTGAAAGATTTATTGCTCTTATGCTAAAATTGCCTGACCTAAGAAATGCTACCTACCATATTTAATGTGGGGTTTTTGTCCTTTTGCTTTCTCATATATAACCATATAACTTCCAGTGACTGTTTTTAAAAACTGGTGAAAAAACCCAAAATATTTTATTTTATAAAGGAAATTAGTGGATAGTAAATTACTTCTTTAGAACAAAGAATCAAAACTCCTAGTCATGTTTTTCTGGTCTAGGAAGTAAAGGAGAAGCCAACAAATTAATTCCATTATAACACAGATTTTTATTTTCCCTTGTGTTCGTAATTTAAATGTTCTGCAGATACACAATGGTGCTGTAGTTTTTAAAATATGTCTTCTATCAACTCTTGTCCCATGCATATGACATGGAAGTTTTAAAAACTGACATCTTACCACCTGATACCTTTACATTCAAAAGAAGTAAAGAAGCCATATAAAAAGTAAAATCACTCTATTTGCATTAGAAATGTAGCAAAACAGATATAATATTGGCATAGCATCAAAAAATAACTTTTTTGTGCAGTTGATTATGTAGAGTTAATAATTCTGTTTAACACAGGAAAGGGAAATGGGATCAGTTTCCAAGGACTTAATTTTTAAGTTTGTGTGATATGTTATTTTACTTCTATTTTACTTCAAATTCTAAACTCTTATTTTGTTTTGTTTGTTTGTTTTTCTTATTCAGTACATAAAATATAGTCATGTCAAATTCCAACACGTGAATGAAACAAAAATTCTTTACAATTCTGATGACTATAACATTCAAGTATGTCACCAAGAAATCAGTGAATTTACAGGCTGTTCCTCCAAACATTTCCAGCATCAGAGACTTAGATATCAACTTTTGGAATAGTAATTTAACTGCTATTATAACATATTTAATTTGCAATTCCTAAAATTGCTAAAAGCAATGTTGGGAATGTCCCTCCCATTTTGTATTAGGTGACATACAATTATCCTTATAGAAGCACCTCTCTAATGAGTAACTCTAGAAATTCTGGCTCATTACTGGCTTAGGCTTCTGATTTTTATAACCCTCTCCTTATTTTGTACCTGTTCTATAAGGACCACATGTAACATCTTTACTCTTCCACAGGTATAAAAAGTCACCTAAATGGTTTACAGTACAAATGCCACTCTGTGAGTTGGTTCCTTTTGAAGTCAGGGGACAAAACAGGCACTTAGAGGGCATGATTTATCTCATTTCAATCTGTGTGCCTCTAAGTGTCCCAGGAATTTTATTCTTTACGTGTCAGCCTCTCTCCACACAACAGTCTGGATGAAAATAAACCAAAAAGATTGCTGTGCATTGCAAAGATCGACTATGTGCACTGATGAATGACAAGATGCCACAAGAAAATCTACCACAACATTTGGAAGACGTTGAAATGCAAAAATAAAATACATAAAGCAGGTCCACTGGAAGGGTAAAATATACCAACCTGATTCTGCTTTCTTTGTTCCTCCATGGCTTCTGAAACAGCCTGGGCAATCTTCTCTTTATGACTATCACGTTCTGCTTCCCACATTTTTCTTTCTTCTGCATGAATCTTCTCCATATTCCTCCTCTCCTCCTCTACTGCTTTCAGAACAGCCTCCTGCACTGCTTCTTTCTCAGCCTTTCAAACAAATGAGGCACAACGAGATGACCAACACACCCAACACAAGTGCCTAACTCAAATATATTACCTTTTCCTAATGAGATCTACGAGCTGATAAGATATTGGACATGAGCATTCTCACTTCTGAACTGTGAACTTAAATTTGTCTGAAGTAGGTATTGCCTCCAGACAATGACTTGTGTAGTTACAGAAAGGAAAAGGAGGTTACAAGTAAGGCTCTTAAATTCCCCTCTACCAAAACTACAGTATCTCATAACTAGTTTGCTTAGCACAAAAATCATGCAGCAAAACCCACGTAAAAGTAGGCACATCATGGGCCTGCCATGATATTCCTGTGTAGGAGATATTCCTGTTCTTACCTACAAACATCTGAAGTCCCCAAAGTCTGAGCGTTTTCTGTGGCAAAGTAGCCACACAGATATATCTATCAGCATGATAACTATTGCATAATATCTACAAATAAATAATGGCAAACTGAAGTTCAAAATAAGCAAATATGGGCCAAAACCCACATTTGCAAACCCCTCAATTTAATAATCTTACGGGTCTTTCCAATGCCCCTTGGAGGTGATTATAGATCTGGGCAAGTGAAGTCAGAAATGGCAAAAAATATGATGTTCATCAGATACCTCCACCTACAAATAAAGCTGTTTCTTGCAATTCATTGGCACTTGATTTTTCACTTAGATATTTAAAAATACAATATTTTTTTTAAAAAAGCCGTATTAAATAAAGGTATTCTACTATACACATTTTCCTGTAGATGTCAACCATGTAACAAATGTTTCTTTTTTTATCGAATGTTATTCAGAGAGGTGCTCAGCTAGTGTTCATATAATACACATAAAAATATACAGAAAATTCTAATATAGCCTTATGAGCTGCACTAGGTAATATACATCACTAGGTTTCCCAGATCATTACATGCAACTGGATTCTACAACAGCATTAGAAATGAAAGATAGCTTCACATCTACAAAATTACTGTCCTAACACCAATGCACTTACTAATGAAGAAGACAGGAGAAATCATATTTTAAAAACTGAATACTCATTTTTAGTCAAACATTCACTTAAATAAAATAATTGAAAACCTGTTAAAATGTCCCTGTTTTAATGATTTATGAAATAGTTCTCTCCTCATTGAAAACAACCATATTTAACAAAAGTTAAGTAAGACACAATGATAATTGTCTTACTAAGATGAACACTTGACCTCCTACCCAGCTCTTCAAATCGAGATGCAATGATGTTGAAAGACCACAAAACCAGATATTTTGGGGATGGCAAAACCTGAAATGCAATATTATGACTTCTTGTCATAAACAACTGAGAGGTTATCCCCCATAGAATTTACACTGACTCTCTGTATCAAGGCATAGGATATAGCAGGTATGTTCATGATTAATGGAATATATAGCAGGTATGTTCATGATTAATGGAATTAGCTTCTCTTAAACACAGATGAGAACGCAGAGTTTGATAAATCTGGTTATGAAATAAAAACGAGTTGCTGAACTTGGCATTTCTAATGACACACGTGGAATCCACATTGCACATCTACTAAATTAACAAGAGATACCTTGGCAGCAGCTGCCACAGCCTCCTTACTTCTTTGTCTTTCTTCATCCAAACATTTGTCCAGCACTTCCTGCAAATGTTGTGAAAAATTAAACTGCAATACACAACAGAGGAGTGGCTCAAAATAATTTCAAACTGTCAAAGTGCTTAAGAAAGTTTCCTCTTCCTGTCAACAAGTGTGACAGGATCATTCCCAATGATCTCCTTGGTGCTGATCAGATCGCTCTTTTTTGTTGTAAACAAAAGCAATACCTTGTGCTTTTGTGACTGCTGCATCAAAGCTTCTTCTATCTTTTCTGATAAGACTTCCTTCTCTGCTTCCAGAATGTCAAGAAGTCGTTGATGCTATTGGGAGAAAACATTCATATTATTGCAACCACAGTCTGCTACTAAAACAGATGCAAAAAACTCATCCAAGGTTTCCCAGTTGCTTACAAAATGCCTTTCAATGTAGATTAAGTTAAATTACATAAACAGCACTCCTTTAAATGATTTCATGTAAAGAAAAAAAATACAATAATAAGAAATGTTTAGCTTCCTGAATATCTAATATATCCTCTAAGTCTGAAGAGTATTAGGAAAGAAGTCGAAAAAAGCAACACTTACCCAAATGATACAGATGGTTTAAGAAACACCAAACTTTAAATATTTTAAACAGCTGCAGAATTTAAATCACGCTTTTACTACATCTCAGTTATATGTACAGAGAGCAGAAGACAAATGTATTCTTTTCAACCATTTGTGATATCATGAACTTTGAAAACCAGGGAGAAAATGGACACTGAAATAAAGTGACCATGTAGTCTATATCACAACTCACTTATTTGGTTTTTTTCACTATATAAAGTAGAGCATTTGAGAGATACAGGTTCTGTCTGTAAGAGCAAAGTTATTTTTCAAAACTAAAAATTATTACTGGAAATGATTGATGCTAGGTATTTGTCATGAGAGAATTTCTAGCAAGCCAGTACACTTTTTTACATGTTATTTAAGAGATGATATATCATAATCTTAAAGTACAGCATCATTACACAATAATATTTTACAAGATCACCAAAAGGAAAGTGTTACAGTAGAGTTCTTATTAAAATAAGTGTACATAAAGAACATAAATTTTTTACACAAACATTATGCAGGCAAATACCCCTTTCACCAGAATTTCTAATAAACAGTCATTTCTGTTTTACAAATTTTATTATTTTTTAATTTTAAGTGTCTCTAATGGCAGTTAGAAATACATTACCAAACTGCACTACTATGTTCTGAAAAATATTTTTTCATTTGAAGAATAGAAAACTTCTAGACTGCTTTATAAAATAAAACACCTATCTGCCTTTCCAGGATAAACATGTAAAGAGGCATTTCCTTGTGAATTTACTTAAAATAGGTCTGAATGTGGCAGACATATTCTAATGGAAAACACCTGTGGAAGGAATAGTGAAAGTCATGGTTCTACTTAATGATGTGTAGCTCACTTTTCTTGTGGACACAGTATTTTCAGACATTACCTTGAACTATCAGAGCACTTACAGAAATTGCTTTTTTCCAGTAATTCAAAGGTGAAAAAACGAATGGATTTTATTACCTGAATGATCTCCACGACTCTTCACTTGACTAACTGCACAAATGTGTTATTTCACAATGACACAATATAAAACAAACATACATAAATATTTTCTCAGATATATCCACAAAGCTTACTAACGTCAACTAGAAGACTGAATCTTTATTTGCTTGTCAAGAATCAACACGGGAGTTTCTAAGGAGAGCTTGTCAGAGAAAATCACCTCTATCCTTAAAGCCCCTTCAAAAGAACAGCAGTCAGCTTGTTCAAGCACGATGAGAGGTTCTAGACTAAGCCTATCAGCCAGATAATTCCAGTTTGACTCTGACCATCAGATTTCCAGGTTAGATATGAAGACTGTAGCCACATTTCAAGTTGCCATAGTGGGCCAGCTACAAGATGTATTTCACAACATTCTCAATGGGACCACAATTTTCAGCTTTTAAACTTTAAGGGAGTTTTAAAGTTTTATTTTATGTGTATGTATAAGAAGACATCCCAGCCCATCCTGGAAGTCCTGAAACAATGCAGACATTTGCATTAATACAATATAGAATATTTATACACGGCCAATGGAGAAAACTAATGTTAATCCTCCTTGCTGATAAAAACAGTTTTATGACTACAGCCCTGCATGTCACTGCACAGCAGTTCACTTTACATAAACCTGTGGGAGACCTACAAACCTGAAAAATGCAGATATTGGGATCAAAACTTTTTATCATACAGACACCTGAAAAATCCTGATCTCCCTTGCTGCAAAGAGAATGCACAACTAAATCACAGAATGGTTTGGGTTGGAAGGGACCCTGAAGTTCCCCCCTGCCATGGGCAGGGACACCTTCCACTAGACCAGGTTGCTTCAAGCCCCATCCAACCTGGCCTTGAACACTTCCAGGGATCGGGCAGCCACACCTTCTTTGACCAACTTCTGCCAGTTCTGACCACAGAAACCACAGTAAAGAATCTTTAAAATTCAATTTACTGCTTTTGCTTGAGACTTCTAACTACAAAAAAGTTGCGCAGCAAGTAAACAATTACCACAAAAATGAAGGCTGCTGTGACTGTATTGTGATTAGTTTGACTGAGCAAGGCTCTCCTATCCCCTTGGTGGATTAGATCTAAATGGTATTACATTTGGAGATCTGTGGAATTCACTGACATTGAGTAAGAACTTTATTAAGAATTGTATCTGTTTATAAACACACGCTAGTTCATATTTTTCAAGATAATAGAGGTAAGTACTTGTGAGCACATTTAGAGTGCTTTCAAAAGAACAGTTAATGACTTCTGCCATAATTCAATGCAATCTACTTTACATTAAATAGCATCCCTACTTGTCATGGAAATACAAAATTTAGCATTTCACAACTGTAAGTCTCTTGTGAAAAGCTTGGCATGTCCTTTCCTATTATAATATAAATGCTTATTCATGTGGAATAATCCTCCCATAGACGATTGCCTTCATATCTGAACTTCCAAAAGTTCATGTATCATCTCAAATATTGCAACAGCTGTCCATAAAACCTCGTAAAGCAAAATCTCTTTTATTAGACCTACACAAATACCTGGGAGAACTGTTTATTCGGCTTCAGAATCTCTATTGGGTCAGTTTTGCTTTTCAGAGAAGCATACCCTAAGTTATTAAATTATATAAATTAGATGAAAAAATAAGTAACCAGAAACAGAGAAAATGGAATAAAATATTGCACAAACTGCTCCTCCCTGAAAAAGGTCTTGAGTCCAGAAAGCCTATATGGCATAGACAGCATGGATATGACATAAAAGCTTCCATTCTGCATGTAATTAACATGCAATTTAATTACTTGTCAAGCACTTTTTTCCCAAGGTACTATGCCCCACAGTTTTATCAGCCTTCATAGGGAGCCATAGAATCTCCCTGAAAGTTGTGCTTACAAAAATGATGTAAAGCAAGCTTGGTGGTATTATTAACCCATGTTCTAAAAAAGGATGCACCTCAATGCATCTGAATTCCTCATTACAAAGCACAGTTCTTTCAAAGGCATGTTCAGGGATCTTGGTTATGTATATCACTTGAGCAGAAATCTGGGAAATTAGGGACAGTAAAGGTTTCTGTGCCTTCCCTCTTCTGACAATGAGAGAAATTTTAGTATTTCTGTATAATGACAGCAGTTTGACCGACTTAGAAAAAAAAGCAGTAATTCCAGGAAATGATTAATGAATGCATGAACAGAATTCCAAGCTCTTAGTTTAAATGTCTCTGCACGGAAAATTATTGTAGCCCCTCTGGAACTATTCTTTAATTAGGGCAACCAGCTTTGCTTTCAGATTTTAAAGTAATCTATATACCCTCCAAAAGAAGTTACTATACCACCGAATCATGTGGTAGGTTACATTTTTAGATGTATGAAGAATGACTTTGGAGTCTGGGACTTAATGGCCACAATGAACTTTATATACAGTCAGTGCTTCCTCAGTTGGTTTTTCAGATGACTTTCATTAAAGGGAGTTGAAGGTTAAAAACAAACGGAAGGTGACAGTTTCACTTCAGCACTTACACATTTGAGACCTTTCAAGCGCCTTTGTATTTTTAGCTAACAGGAATAGGATGTTTTAGGTTCATTTACTTGGCTTGTAGATTTTTGTTGGACTATAGTAAAGGCCTCTTAACCACAGAAACCATTGCTGAATTAAAGATCGTACACACCAAATTAAATGCCTACAGCTAAGCAGACTTATCTCATAACCCCCTCCCCTTCTCATCACTAAATAAAGCCATAGGAATGATGTGAGATGGACCAATCTCATTCAGCATTTCCAGTTTCCACAGGTAAGAATTATGAACATGTTCCTCTCTCTGTTAGACAGTATTAAAGGAATAAAGGAACAGCTTTGAGACTTTAAGTACCACTCTGAGCTACATAGACACTGAATTTTGATTCCCAAGCATTGGAGAGGCCACTTTCTCTTAGGCTTATCTGGGCATCCACGTTGGAGGCCTCCTGGTAATTGTGCCTGGATAGGCACAAATGTGTCCAGAGAATATTGCCTATGCTTCAAAAAGTAAACCTAACAAAAGCTTTAAAGAAAGATTGATCTGCCTCCTGTAAGTAGAGCAATGAGTTCATCAGACCTAACAGTCCTATGAAAAATATCCAAGTCTCTTCCAGGTTTCCTATGAAAGCTGTGATGAGGACCTACTCATGGAGCCTTCCATTTTGAAAAAAGCACCTAACCTGTGCAGATTGTCAGACATTGTCCAAGAAGTTTATAAATGGAAGTTGAATTGAGGGTTTCCTTTATCAATCAACAATCCAAGAACCAGAAAGCAGGTAAAAAAATTTATAAAAATGGAAACTGATAAAAGTTATGGCTATAGATGAAAAATAAAAGATGTCCTGAACTGGAAATATGATGCACAAATCAGTGTGAGACCAAAATAAATCTCAGTGAAAACTCCAGAGCAACAAGAAAGTTTTCATCCAGTGCAATTTTGCAAGGCTGCACATTCCCACTGTTGTCTGTAAGGCCCAGTAGATAGTGGAATATTATGTAGAGATAGTCAGAGAGACGTAAAAAACCTTTAGCTTAGGTACAAAAAATTGCATAGCTCTTTAATGCATGACTTTACCTGATTTCCATAGCATAGCACTCTTATTCTTCTTTCTTAAAAAGCTATGTTACCTCCTTTTATCCCTTAGTCAGGGAGTATAGGGTTAAGAGTGCAAAATTCTGAGCTGTAAAAAATTCTGAAGAGCAAATTCTACTGGGACATCACGACCCGGTGAGACATAAGAGA